AGTGTGAAACTAATTGTATTTGTATGTATAACAAATTTGAGCGAGCTTCGCTCGGCGCGCGCGCCGTCACAATAACGCTAATCTCCGTTAATCGCCACTTAATCGAAAAGTCGTAATTAATAAGTAAATCGCATACTCGCGTACAAAGGAAAGCCGCACCCCTGCTTCCCGCAACGACGTCATTACGAGGAGGGAAGAAAAAAAATCGGGGCCGTTGAACAGCCTCGCCTCCGCGCAACGAGCCGCCGCCGCGGTTGAAAGGAATCGAAATTTCGAGGGCATCCCTTAAAAATGCGTATAAAATGTCTTCGGTTGTGTATGTACATAAAAAAGAGCGTCGCGAATTACCAATTAAACGGGCGTTTCGAAACAGCGTTGTTCGTAAAAGTATTCTGAGCGTTCGACGTAGGCGGATTTAGCGTAGACAGATTTAGCGGCTTCATCCAATTTACGATCTTTGAGGTTTTATTAAATAATTACGTTCATATATCCATTCACAGAAATGGAGAGGTTGTTTTTTTTTCTTTTTTCTTTTTTTTCTTAAAAAGCTAAATGTGGAATACATTTAACGCGTATGCACAGAAGTCTAGATAAATTTGCATGGATGCAAATAAGTTCATTAAAAATGAAAATCTCTGGTAATAAATGTTTAATGCGCTGATGTATGCGACTGGATTGTTCAGCTCTCCTCTAAATCCGTCTACGGAAATCGTGCGAGAAACACTGCTTCAAATACATTCGTAAATGCGACGTCGTAAATAACCGCGAATAGACGCGCGACGATACTCTCATCTGTTAAAAATGTGCGTTTCAAAGGAGTGAAAGACGCGGGATGACGCTAAAATATTTGACGGTTTTAATGGTGTGCAATTTTTCATCGACCGTCACGCAAAATGTGCTCTCAATAAGTTGGTCATTACGAATGCAAATGTATTTCGCTTTCGATTTGGGATCCTTCAAAGGAAGATAAATGTAGAGAGGAAATGTACAAAGGTCTAGTACTTTTCAAGCGCAACAATTTTCGAAATGTCTTTTAACAATCTTACGCAAATTGATCGCTTTCGCTATTTCACAAATTCAATTTTAATAACTTTCTATTCTCTCCAATTTTCACTTCAATATAATATCTCTTTTATAATAACGCTAATATAATAATCTCCGCCAATGATATTAATACAATAATGCTTTTAATTTCGCAAATTAAAAATTTATAATCTGCATTTATAATTGTCCATTCCACAAATGAATTAGGCTGCAGCTGCGATGGAAATATCCGATAAAATCGGAATCAAATAGGCGTCCACTTTATATCGGTTTTATGTCGACGACAGCTTCGAAACGCACATTTTTAGCGAGCAAATTTCTCACTTTTACACGTTCGGTTATGTCGCGTACGTGTGTAATGTAGAGTATACTTTACTCGCGTCTCCCGCTTACGTAATACGAGTTCAATTGATACGGCATATAAATTAATAACTAATGACTAATCTCGTTAGAGTAACTTTGTACAATTTATACACGAATCGTTTTCTTTTTGTTGATATGATTATATATTTTATTATATATATATATATATATATTTATTGTTATTTCATTTCGTTAAACGTATTACTACGTGCGCGTTCGTTTTGGAAGAATTATACATCGCTCATCCTTGTGGATATTAGTCTTCGGTCGCCTTATAGGATTTAGGAACGTTATATTCAAAATAATATGCTTCATTTGTCGTGGCCAGAGTACAATGCGGACTGTCGAAAATAAACGCCACGCTTTTGTAAGATCGGCCACGAGCGCCCGAGCGCGAATGGTTTCGTCGGAACGCGACACGTTAATCCTTTCGCTACGACAATTATGCCTGCCTGCCTACCCGCTAAGCGTTTGCCGTAAGAGACGCGACTGTAATCATGCCGTTCTCTAATTGTCAGCATTAAGGACGATTACAGTCACCTGCCACCAAGATGTTTATTCACATTCCGCGTTCAGCGTTAAACGCGACCCCGTTTGATCTCGAATGTTAGCTGTCTAACATGCAAATGAGAAATGTTATCACGGGTTCAGAATTCCCACGAGCTGGTTTAATGGCAAATACGGGGCGTGAATACGAGCGGCTGCCGCTGGTGGCCTATGAGCAATATTATATTTGGATTTCACAAGCAAAAACAATTGCTGCACTTGCCGTAAGTGAAACTTTTCGGGCGGGCACTGTCGTAACGCGAAGGATTACATTCCATCCCGTGCGGAACAAGCAAACACAGCTGATGTGAGCGGCAAGTTTGCGCTATACGGTGTGATTGCACAACTTAAAATAAACTTTTTTGCCACAAAAACTTAAAATAACGAATCTATAGTATTTTTTTTTACTAAAATCAAATATGTTTTTAGATTTTTTCTATCAGTAAAGTTATTATGCTTTAGTTTGACAAAATTGAGTTGAATAATAATACTAAGTGTATGCTGCTTTATTTAAAAAGTAACAGTCGACGATGTTGTGGCATATTTCGCGTGGAACATCTCTCTTCTTTGTTCAACAACAGTCAGCCAGCATATTAGAGTTCCACAACGGATTGCGCAACGTATCTCAACATGTCAGAATATAATTTAGCTTGCATAGTCTTTTTTTCACTGATGTTATAACAATGAATATCCATACATTATTCACAATAAATAAGGATCACTATTTAGTATAAAAAATACTAAAAACGTTGAAATAATATCAGAAACAACTGTCTTAAAAAAACTGTGGGTGATAGAAATCTGTTTGCATATTTGAATTCAGCATAAAAATATGTGTTAAAGAGACCGATTAGTTTTCTTGCAATAAAAATCGTATTGATCGTATTATTGTTCCTCTCCGAGCGCAATCTCAGCTCATCTTTCCGCGATTTCAACCGAATATTTCTATACTCATAAAATTATATATTATTTTTTATAGAATTAAATTGGAATTATTCCAAGATGCCTCTAAGCCGCTATATGATTTTGCGAACAAAATTCCATAATTAGCCAACCGTTAACAAGCTGCGTTTGCTCGATTCACATGCATCGCAAGTTGCGCGATCCGAATCTTTTGCTCGCGCTTGAGCGAACCAACCCGTTACGTCACGGGACCGTTACCCATGTATTCTCTTCCCCGTTTGTGCTATCGCCACGTCAAGAAACCTCTGAAATGTCACGCGGGACATTCATGCGCTTAATCCCGGAGCGATCGCGCGGGACCTTTTGTAGCTCGCCCGGCACTCGCGAGCCGCAACACATGACTTTCCAAGTCATTATTAAAGAAATCATTTAATCAACAATATCTTAATTTACACAAAGCACGTCAGTGGGAATGGCAGTTTACATCGCAGAGATTATAGCAAAGTTTAGAAGTGCCAACTGGGACATTAGTCCGGCGTGACCGCTCAGCTCGAGAAACATGGCGCAATAGCAAGTTGCAATTTGCAACGACGAGAAGATAATTTTTTCCTTTCTCCCCTTTTATTCTTCTTAATATTGTTCAAAAATTGAGATTATTCCATCTTTCGGCATGATATGAAATCGAAAGTAAAGCAAATATAAACAATGATACGTTATTGGTCTATTTGGCAGTGTTCACCCGAAAAAAAATATTACGTGCAAACCTGTTTTCTTTTTTTCTTTTTTGAAAGCCCTTGTCCGAGTTGCAAATAAAAAACAATCGAGTGCGTCGCGTGTGCATGACGGGGTCTATCGGCATAGTGTTAAAGCGTCGCGAACATCGATCGCGGATTTCGTTTTTGCGCCTTTTGAGCCTGGAATATTGAAATTACACTTCCGCCGTGACGGAAGATATTTCGCTGCGCGTCATACGAACACAGAAATACTCTACGAGCTTAAATTACCGCCGTATATAATCGGCTAAACGTAAGCGCTTTCAGTCATGGAATACTTATTGCTCACGAAACCCATTAGACCTCTTCGAAATAACGCAGCACGCAAAAAGCACAAGATACACGTCCCTGCAACCGATTGTTACCGGGGTTACTCTTTTCATGAGCCTGCAATTAACAAATCAGAGTACTAACTGGCGAGCCGTCATGTTGTAAGGCGCGCTGGGGAACTTGACGAGCGCCCGCGACGTCCGTTGACTGCAAAACGGCCTCCCATACTCTTAGAACTATGATCGTTCGTTGTGATCGAAGACCGTTCCTTCAAGTTCTCACTGTACTCACTACGTACAGACAGGATTTAGCTTTCACGGTGGTCACCCAGTCGATTAGACTCCGTCGGAGCGTTCGAGTTATTGCCGCTTTTAAAGATACTATTTAGTTTATTGTATCGCTGACTGCCCGTACTGCTCATCGTGTTCGAGCCCGAAGAATTGTGCTGACTGTAAGCGGCCGTTCTTGGAAAGCTAGGCAGCTTGTCTGAAAGGCACGAGAGAAACACGTCAAGAATGTTCGTGACTGTTGAAAAATAATACCGTGTTCAATCGCTGAAATTGATTTGGGATTAAATCTTGTTAAAATCAAAGTTTCTTCTTTGAAATAATCAAAATTACTTTTTTAATCAAATGTCATGGAAATTTCTTTTTTTTTTCAAAACGATAAAAGTTAATTCTCTTCCTTTTTGAAACGATGAGAACTTGTTTTTTCGTTTTTAGAACAACAGTTACCTTTACTACGATGTCTCAATCTTTCCTGCGAAGCCGTGCTTCCGCACTGCCTCTGGGGGATGCAGGAATAATTGCTGTCGCTGCTGTACGTGGGCGAGGACGTTCTGTTTCTCCTCCGCGGGCTCCTGTTACTCCTGCTTCGCGAACCCGTTCTGCTACTACTGTGACCGCACGCGCTGCTGAATTGTTGCGCGTTGTACTGCACGGTGTCGGCGTACAGGCAGCTGGATTCCGAGCACGAGCAGCACGCGTCCGAGTGCGTGTTGGAGTCGCACGACTTCCTGTCCCACTCGTCGTTCTCGGGCTGATAGAGATTGTCGCTGCGGAACATCTCGTTCCTGTGCCGGTAGAGCTCTTCGCTCACGACCGACGGCGTGAGGTGCTGATTGGAGGAGCGCGCGAATGCGGAATCGTAATCGTCCGACAGGCCGTTTTGATGGTGGCCGTAGATGACGGAGCCGCTCTCGTACTCGTTCTCCTGATTCTTGTAGTCGTAATGATTGAAGCTCTGCGGATACGACGGTAACGGCGGCGGATTGGTCTGCGGCGGTAACGTCGTGTATCTGCCCTGCGAAACCTGAAGGCTGCCGGCTACCTGGTGAGCGCCGGCTTCCGAGTGTTGACTCTGCCCGCCGCCGCTCCAAGGTGTTGGCGACGGATTAAAGGCATTGGTCACTCTGATGGGCGGAGTGGGCGGACTCTGAGAATTGCCCGCGCCGGCGCCAGAGCCAGCGCCGCAATGATCCAGATCATTCTGAATATTTCTTTTGCCGAGATGCGGACTGAACGGCACCTGTTGCTGCTGCTGTTGCTGATGCGGATGCTGGTGTTGCTGCATCCGGCCGGTCATCGACGTGCTGAGTGGAGGCGGGTGTTCGGGCGGCGGCGGTAACATGTCGCACCAGTTCGGCATTGTCGAGCCGGTTTGCGGCGCGTCGCTCGATGAGCCCGCTATTCTAAACTGTCTCCTCTGCATGTCCAGGTTTTCGTCCGTGTAAACGGCCTCGCCGCCGCTCATGTTGTCGCTGCTCGGCGACACCATCGACTTGTTGGGCTCCTGATTCGAATCCAGGCTCGAGTAATCCGGTTTCAGGCACGAATCGCTCGAGTTTGACTTCTGGCAGCTAGTCTCGATCGAGTCCGAGTTGCGACTGCCCACGCACAATGTCGTGGTCGCATACGGTTCCGGCGGTAGCGCCTGCATCTGCTTACGCGTGTTGTAGAACGTCGTGAGGTTGACCTCGGCGTACTCGGAGCCGGCCATGCCCATTATGCCGGCCGCCAGCATATGCTGATTGTTGAGCAACTTGGTCTCGCAGTCCTTGTCGCTAGCGGCCTGCAGAGTATTGGTCGGCCGCCAGCCGCGCTCCAACCAGAGCGTGTCCTTGTTCAACTGACAGATATCGTTGGCGGTGCCCACCGGTACGTTCAGATGACCCAGCTGCTTGCTCATCGCCTGTCGACGTCTAACGTACAGAGCGGTCAGCAGCGCGGCGATCACAGTGACCGTCATCGTAATCATCAGCACGAGGAACCACGTTTCCCTGACGACGGACGCGCCGCCGTGACTAGGGTCGGTCCGCGGCGGCAATTGCGGCGTCAGCTGCGTCGGATCCATGTTCAATAGCGTCGGACTGGAGAAGGGACCGAGGCCGACGCGGGTCTGTCCGGCGACGCGCGCCGTGTACAGGCCGCCGGTCGTCAGGCTGTTGATGATCACCGACGTGGTGGACGCGTTCAGGGACATTTGACCCAGGATCTTGTTGCTGCTGTTGGTCTTGATCTGAATCTGAGAATCGAACGTGGAACGTGCGAGGCAAGAGGTGAGAGATAAGAGATGCGCCTTCGCGATATCAGCGAAAGAAGATTAACGGCGATGCTTACCTTGTAACCGATCAATTGGCCGTTCTGAGTGTTCTTCGGAGGCGGGGACCACCGAACGAACGCCGAGGTCATATTTATCATCCCCACGTGAACGTTCTCGGGCGCGCCCGAGGGCACGTCCTCCAGAGTGGTGACCAGCTTCACGTTGCTCGGCCGGCCCTCGATCGTCTTGTAGAACGGAACCAGAAAAAACTCGTACCGCATGAACTTCTTCAGATTGGTCAGCACGTAACTAGTGGCGCCGGCGTTGAGCACCGTGACCATCTGATATTCCGGTTTCTCGGAAACCTCGCGGTACCGTATATACAGACCCTCCACTAAATCCGCCGCGCCGAGAATCTAAAATTCAGATTCTATTATGTTATTCTAATTTTTGTTGCTGTTATTGCAGTGTTTTCCAATTCCAATTGCCACGTCGCAGGATACCGCGCCCAATGTCGCGCCTTTCTCTCGGGAAAGATTTTTTTAGCGTATATTTTCAGCTTTTTTAAGAAAATTGAATAAAAGTTAATAATTTATCACTATTTTTTTTCTATTTTCAGCGCTGGGTATATCGCGGCGCTTAATCAAATCTCTGGTAAAATGAAACGCACTTAAAATAAACTGATATTCTTCAACAAACAGTAATGTTTTTACAACGTCCAAGATTTATTCTGAAAATTTTCGAGGCAACAACCGCGCGGCGTTTCGCTATATATTGTTAAGCTAAATCAATATGAACAAAAGCGGGACATGGAAAATGTCGATATCGACACTTACATCCCACATGATCTTCACGCTGGTGCTGGACAACGGTTGCACCTCTTTGAGATGTAAAATTTCGCTGTTCAGCCGATCTCTGATGCGAGTCAGTTCCACTTGCGACACGGTATGCTGATTTACGTTAGTAGTTTGCACCACGTCCGAGAGTGGTCCGGGCAGCGAGAGCCCGTGGCTGTTTTCTGCCCGTACTAGGAAAACGTAATTGGTCTCCGGCCTTAAATCTGGCACCTGTTGATAAATGAAGCAGGAAACCCGACTCGTTAGCTTGACGAATAAAGATCGTGATATAAATTTTACGTATTTTACTGCTTCCTTATTGGATGCTAAATGTTTATTCTGCGCGCTGCAATATGTTCGCTCTTACAGAGAGATTAATTTCTTCCCTTCTCGGGATAGTTACAGCACTATATTGCACGGCAACGGAGTTAGCCTTATATGATGTTTGTTTGATAAGGAAATATTAAAGCTGCTCCTTTTATGTAGATGGCTATTTCTTTGTAGGATTACAAAGCTTTACAGAAAATTACAAGAATCCTTTGCAAATATATAAATCTATAGCTGATAGAAATTAATATAAAAATAAATTAGAAAAAAAATTTGCGATATTTCTACATTTAATATCACGGGAAATTCTATTATTATATTCTTCAATTATGCTCTGACTATTTAATTAAAATTGTGTAACATTCTTTATTTCTTTATTTAACTAAAAAAAAGGGGAAGCAATTATTATGATTAAAAGAAAATAAGATTCTTGGCAAACCTGTGCGTGTTCGAGTTGTGTGAAAATATGACAATATATAATACACTGCCGTGTTAAATAATTAAAAAAATAATTCACATAAATTTAACAGCATATTTACATAATTTTATTAATATTTGAAGTGCGTATTCCAATTCTCGTTATCTCTTGTTTAATTCATTCTATCGATAATTTTCATGTACAGCAGCATGTTTCACGTATTAAAAAGAGCGACAACGGTGACAAATCGACTTTCACCCATATTGTCGCCTCTCGCTCTCTCTCTTTATTAAATCGAAATCTTGATATTAAATTTGTCGAACTGTTTAAAATTTTTATATGCCGATTAATTTTATGGAATCACAGAAATGTTATTTAGTATCAGAGAATGTCGCGAACTGTCTTCACCAGCAGTCCACGCTCTAAACACACTTCTGAAACAATACACAAAGGAAAATTGAAAATACCCACTTCAGGGAAGTCGTGAAACTCGACTCGGGGCTTATAAAGCGCTAGAAAAAAGAGGTCAAGTGTCCCGCCGTTTCTCGATATACTCACGGTGTAGATATCGTCGACAACACCCGTGGCCGCCACCACCCAGCCGGTGTTCAGGTTGCTGCTGTAGTACTCGATGTTGTAACCGATAATCTTGCTCTGGCCCTCGTCGCCCGGGCTCCACGTCAGGGTGATGGAATTGCTGGTGGCGTTCACTATCCGCGGCTTGCTCGGGTTCTGCGGTAACGCCGAGATGTCGGGCGTCCGGTGGAAACTGGCACCCGAGCTGACCGTCAGGTACGCCGACCACGAGGTGTTGCCGGACTCGGACGAGGCGATGCAGGTGTACAGTCCGGAATCGTTGGCGCGCAGGTCGTCGATGAACAGCGTGCCGTTGATCGCCATCGTGATACGGCCGCCCGGTTGCACGAGCACGCCCTCCTTGTGCCAGTGAACTCGCGGCGTCGGTATGCCAACCGCGCGGCACGGCAGCCAGGCCTCGCTCTTCAGCGGCAGGGTCTGATTCGCCGGGCCCAGCTCGATTATGGGCGGCGGTATCTCCTCGACGGACGTCACCTGAAAACAAGGGGGGGGGGGATCATCTTATTTGTTTCGCGAAGAAGACAGTCGCCTGGCCGAATGCCACGATCGTCGTCCGATTCCACGCGCGAGACGCGCCCAGAAAATTCGTCCGCTTTCGAACACGATCGGCATCCTTCGTTCGGGATCGATTTCTTTCAAGAGGATGAAGAAGTGATTAAATATCACGGGAACGCTTAATCCGCAAAATGAACTCTCTTGATTCTAATATCCGAACAGCCCGGGACTGTACTCGCCGAGTTTTCTCCGCTCTAGCGTCTGAAATATCGGGAATTATGAGCACCTATCATACTTAAGCTAGCGAATTAAGGGAATATTGCATTTACCAAGTTCGGTCGAATAGCCAGGTGGAAATGTGTAATTCAAAAGTTTCTTTTCTATATTACACCCTTCAACTTTGGCCGCTGCGAGCGAGGAAGTTACGGAGTTTCCATTCGCCAAACTTGATCGCTGTAATACTCCCTATATGTAGATAAGAATTTTATTCAGAATGTGGGGCAACTCCCCTCAGGCTAGGACCGCGACGCTCCGGTGCACCGGCCGGAATGGTAATTCTGCATTCATCCGGAAGAGAAGGGGGACGGGTAGAGGGAGGAATGATATAAATATGTATCAAGAAAATGAACCACTTAATGTGCACACACTCGCCTCTCACATGGACGGATTTATCTCTTGGCTGTATATTTTAAACTGTTGCACGGCCATTTAGCGTACGATAATTTTCGTTGCTCTTGCTGCTGAATCTACGATATTATTATTATTATTATGGATGCAGGCACACATGTGCACAGTCGTTATCAATTCGAAAGATAAATTTCGCAGCATCGACTCAGCGTTTTTCCTTTTTTTCTTTTTTTAAGATAAAAAGAATCGTGATATTTATGTGGAAACAATTTTCAAGATTACATTTGCGATTGTCCGATGGTGACTGAATTCGTAGACCGACGAGGCTTACATACCTGAAGAAATACGGTGACGGTGCTGGCGCCGGCCTGACTAATAGCGCTGCACACGTAGTAGCCTTCGTCTTTCTTGACGGCGCCCTTGATACTTAGACTTCCACCCTCCGTGACGGTGTAGTGGCCCTGATATGTGTGGCCGGGGAACATTAGCTCCTGAGAGCCCTCCCGGGTCCAAAATATCGACGGCTTCGGCGCGCCGCGCGCCGCGCACGAGAAGGTGACGTTAGTGCCGGCGTTTACCGTCTCGTCCTTGGGGAAGTTGGTGAATATCGGTTTCGCTGTGACAAACCATTCGATAGTTTGACATGTATCCTGTGTCGTATATTTAACGAGAAAAGTGCTCGTTTAACCCGGAAATGGTCGCGTCAATTTTATTTCTTTTTTCGTGTCGATAGTGGCGTAAAGTACTTTCGGATCCCATTTAAGAATCGTGTATTATATATATCGCGTGTTGTAGATCGTTATTTCGTATTCGAGATAATTGCTGATTTAGATTATCTTATTAAACTCTGCAAAAAATAAAAATATACTAGGAAAATTAAACAAATATTTTAAGCGATTTCTTATTGCAGTAATTCTTGAGAAAATCTCGACGTGACTATTCTCGAATGAATCTATAAGTCATATTATAAATAATTAAGTAAATTAAATTGTTAAATATATAATACATAATTAATTATAAGTTTAAATAAGGATCGATGAATAAAAAAAATCGACAAAAGCTCTTGCGATCTATTTTTCCCATGATAGAAATGTTCAAGAAATGAATGAATTAATAAGAATAATGAAAGTAAGTGTGATATTATTCGGAATTAATATTTTATCTCTTAGATTAGAATTGATAAATATACATTGATTAAAAATAAACATTATCCTCTCTATCTTTATAAATATATATTGATGAATTATACATAATTCACGTGAAACATAATTTCATGAAAAATTAAAACAAGAATAAATACGAAGTTAAGAATTCAAATTCTTCGCTTGAATAAAGATGACAAACGCTGACAAAAATATACATGACTGGTAAGAGGTGCTTTTCAGAAAGGAACACAGAGTGACATAGTGTCGATACAAGTGCATTCCTGCAATGACACAAATCAACACAAGTCGACACGACTGCGAAGCAGAGTCAAAAATTCTTGTCAGAATCATGGCTGTCAATTTCAGAAATTTTCATGTTAAAATTTTATGCAGCAGTATGCATTAAAATGCCATTTCCCTTTTAATCTTCGTTTCACTCTTGAAAATTTAATCGATTAAATTGAATCTCAATTAATCGATAAATTATTAACAAAACAATAAAATTAATCGTTACATTAAAACGAAAATGACTTTCTTGTTTAATATCTTCTGCATTATAATTTATACAATTTATATAATTTTGATTCTTTTTCAAAATACAATTGTAGGCAGATAATCTGTTTTAATATTATCACCCATTATATTTTGTAGTTATTTCAGCAAACATGACAAGTATATATTACAGATTATGATATCGAGTTGAAAAAGTTTCGTTATTTCGAACTAACGACTGCCCAAAAAAAAAAAAAAAAACAAAAAACCAGAAAGCGTTCCATTAAGCACCCGTGTATCGTGTTCAATTGCGCGACACAGCGCGTATCTCTGCCTTCTTGCTGAACAACGTGTTATTGATTATATATAACTCTGTTCAGAATTTGCCCCATTTATTTAAGCGTGAAATTTCAACTATCTACTGTAACACCGTGTCCACCGCAGCCCCTATTTCGCTTATTACGAGCGACTCGACAACATGTCCGAATTTTCCGAGCCACAGATTCGATTTGCGTCGTAGCGCGGAGGAGAGATGCAAAAGTCGACATCGGACGGGATGCACATTCGGGGCTTAATATGCGACGATAATGCGCGGCGTTGCGTCTGTCCTATGGCAAGCATCACCCCTTCTCGCTCATCACCGAGCACGATAATCGTACCACCGGGCGCGTAATTAATTTCACGACCGAGTGAACTCTCTTCTCACACAGAGAGAAACAGCGGGAGCAAGAAAGAGAGGGAGAGAGAGGGGATTTAGTACTCACAGTGCACTGTAAGAGTGGCATTCGCTGATATGGTGCCGATGCCGTTATCCGCCTCGCAGATGTACGTCCCCTGATCTTCGGGGTTCACCCGTTCGATGCGTAAACTTTTGTCGTCCAGAATGCGCCCGCGGCCTATCGGCATCTTGCCGTCGTGTCGCCGCCACAGGATCTCCGGCGGCGGGTCACCGCCCACCCTGCAGGCGAACTCCGCCGTCTGATCCGTGAGGATCGTCTGGTTCGACGGCATGGCTAGGAAGAACGGCTTCACTGCAAAGACAAGAGCGAAGGGATTTGCTTGGGAAAGCCCGATAGCGCGCGGTCAGTGTATCCCGAATTATGGCCTGCGGCTTTTCACGGGATTCCGAACGGCTCCGACGCACAAATTGGCATCATTTATTCAAGATAATTACCGGAATGGAAAATCGGTTAGTCAGCTTGAATAAATAAATTTGCAATTTGCGTGTTAGTTATAAATACTAGATCGATGAATAAATTAAAACGTTATGGTAATAAACGGTGTCGCAAGAGTGGATGGAAAGTGGCAATATTCCATCTCATTATTGCCTTTTTGTAAAATAGAATAGAAATAAGGCACAGCTACGTTTGAATATAGCCTACGAAAAATTCGTCCTTCTTTACTTTATCGTAACAACCGACATTTAAGTGCGATAAAAGTGCCGTAATGCGGCAGGACGCTATTGAAACTTTAAACAACAACTTGAATATTTTACCGTGAATTTGAGACTTAACGCGATCGCTACACGGAACGAAAGTGGGCTTATCGGACGATCGGGATTAGCGCTGAATGCGGCGCTAAACCGCCGGTAAGCTCGTCTACGAGCCTGCCGCTCGCTTTCCCGGGTCCTACGGGGGAAACCGGGGCAGGCACGTTTGGGCGTTCGTCTTTGATAAACGCTTACCGTGAACCGTGAGAGTTGCTATCGCGGACTCCTTGATGCCGACCAAGTTCTCGGCGATGCACTGGTATTTGCCCTGATCGGCCGGCCTCACGTCGGATATCATTAGGTTGCTCCCGTCCACGAGGGTTATCCTGAAACGCACGATGAACGATTAATCAGCGACGCGAGAGACGTTTTCCATTCGATAAGAGAGCGGTGGCGGCGGCGGCGGTGGCGGCGACGAAAATTACGACGATTAATTTCCGCCCGCCCGCAAGATCGACGGCGCCTTTAAGCGCCGTAAGTACCTATGGGGAGAAGACGTAACGATCCAGGAATGTGCCATATATTTCACGCCGCCGCATTACCATGTATTACATCATTACGCAATTATTGTTCCCAATTGTTTCATAATTATGTAATTCTCAATATTGTTGTGCCGCGCTAGACTTCTCTCCCGGGAAACAATTTGCGGGGAGACTCTGGAATACCCCATACGTTTTAATCGCTCATGTCGGCGCGCAGTTTATTCTGCCGGCTTCAACTCTCCTCGCGGCGAAGGAACTTCCGGAAACGCGTTTTCGCGCGCGCACACACACGTCCCACACCGCCCCGATATTATTTATGCGAGGAAATAAGGTGAGCGGCGGCGCGTACTCAAGGCTGCGTACTTGACATTCTTGACTCCGCGCCTGACGTCTCTGCCCTCTCTCGCCTTTCTCGAGGAGGAAGATCGTTCTTCCTCGCGTCGGCGGTCCCGAGATTAAACGGCCGTCTCGTTGAGGGGGTTGCACATGCACGATATCGCGGCGTATGGAGAGCGTATTCGCGACGACGCGCGATCGATCGATAGCTCTCGATCGCGCTCTCTAATTTATAGTGTCAATTAATTTTCACGCCGGCGGTGCTCGATTAACGTCTCCTCCTGCTCTCTCTCTCTTTCTCTCATTCCCGCCCCTTCGATTTGCTCTCTCCTCTACGCGCGACCACTCTTCTCCATCGTTTCACCCCCGCGCGCTTCTGCGAGAGGAGAGAAGAGAGAGAGAGAGAGAGGGAGGGAGAAAGGAAGAGAGAGAGAGAGAAGAGAAACGCGGTCTCGGCGTTCCGATACGGCCGGATTTAATTCCTATCGGTTGTCCTAATTTATCGCGGCTTCGGGCTTCTATCGGTAAATCCAGCGCGAGGATAGCAATGGAGGAGGACGGGGGAGGAGAAAGAGCGGGGAGTTTCCGCGGGCCGCCGCCGCCGCCGCCGCCGCCGCGACGGAGGAGAGTACCCTATTGATCGAGACGAAGGAGAGGAAAATAGCCGTCGAAACGAGCGAGCGAATGGATGTGTGCGAGTTTCGTTTCGTTTCGTATCGAGGTGAGAGACCTCGCCGCAGAAAAAAAAAAATATCTTCATTCTCGTTTTCTCCCCTCTCGCAGAAATCCGAAGGGGAGTGAGGAGAAAAAAAGAAAATCGTTTGTCACGTGCTCTTATATGTGCCGTGTCCCCGTAGAAAGCGTTAAGCCAACGCGCACAATACGGCAGTGAGCGACGGTAAATGGCGGTAATTACATGAAATAGCGTAAATGAACCGTACAAAAGAAAGGTCGGAGGAATAACGAAAATAAAGATCGAAGACTAGCGAACAAAATTTATCAATTATTGATATAATTTATTACTAAAGATTTATCCCGCTCAATAATTGATTCCTTGACATTATCATATTAATAATTCCTACGTTACAAAATTTCTATATAATATAAAAAAAAATTCCTATATTAATGAAAAAAACATTCCGATATTCAATTCATTATGTGCTCGCTGCGAAATGTCGGAAATAAATTTTTCTTTAATTTCCCATCATTTTTCACCTCGCGCATTCGAAAACTTTGGTAATAAGAAATTTTTGTTCACCTCCGACAGTTTCGCCAATCGGGAGGAGAGAGGATTTGCCAGCGTTTCTTTTAAGAAAGGGAGAGACAGAGAGAGAAAGACAGAGAGAAAGAGAAAGACAGAAAGGCGAGATCGCGGCGCTAAAAAAAACTAAGAAGCGTTCAGCGCCCCATGAAAGTTTGATCGAGTCGATCCACGGGGATTCGGGGGAGGAAAAAATCGCCCGTTCCGAGATACGAATGGCAGGCGGAGGCGCGCGAAAGTGTGCCGGGTCGTTACAACGAGAGGTGGCTCGCGCAAGCGTACGCTTAAAAGCTTGATCCTGGAAGAGGAGGAGAAGGAGGAAGAGGAGAAAGGGATAGATAGACAGGGAGAGAAAGGAAAGGGATGAAATTCGCAGTCCGCCGAATTTATGCGTCGATTCCTAGCAACGTCGGAGTTGCGAGTCTCCCGAGTCCTCTCCCGCGTTCGGTTTACACGCTCCAAATATTGCGATTACCAGACGATGCATAAACGTGAAACACATTCATCGATTGCTGTGCTTTATCACCGGCGACCACTATTTAATATTATTGCATGATTTATTATTGAAACCACGATGAGAAATTTTATTGATATTCTACGCCAATAAAATGGATTTGCCACCGCGATTGATGAAAATTTCAGCGATAGAGCTGAAAATACAATATTCAGCGCGGCGTCGAATTATAGCTGCACAGATGGGGCAATTAGCCCATTCGGTGCCACTATTTAAAAACGAGCGTCGCGCATCGAGTTCTATGAATAGAGATAAACGGTGTTAAATGGCGTCCGCATAAATGAGACGCATTTAATTCAACATGTCGCTCTTTTTTCAACTAACTTTAATTCTAGCTCTGAAACGTGCTATATAACAGCATACAGATATTATATTTTAACGTACCACGCAGCGCACGCGGAATAAACAAGTACTTTAACGTGCAGTTATTAGGCGAATCGAGAAGAATCGTCGGTTTATCTTTCTTCGCGCTCAAAGCAACATATGGCATTGCAAAAAGCGACGCGAAATAACCGACCGTGTCCGCGTTAGCGGCGGCATTTGATACGATTTTTTTGCCCCGACGACATCCCTTTTACCCCCGGCGTTGCTGTTAGAATTAAGTTAATCCAGAGTTCTCTCTCTCTCTCTCCCTCCTTCCCTCCGTCCCTCACCCTCGCGCGTCTATAAAAGTAGATTTCCCCGACCGTAATCCCGCGCGAGCGTAAAAGTTACTCTTACTGCCGCGACATTATTACGCAAAGAGACACACGGCGCAAAATTCACCTATAGACTACCCTGGCCTCGTATATGAGCGCGATGCACGAGCGCGTGCAATTTAATCGAGGGGGGAGAGTGAATGGGCCGAGGGAGGTTCGAAGTGAACGCGACGGCAAAAACGGCGCGCTTTTAAAGGATCCGCAAATTGCAAACGGAATATATTTATTATTGTTCCACCTTCATTCGAGGCCCAGGTGACAAGATCGAATTAATTGCCATGAGCCGAGTAACGACCGAGTGCACGTCGAAACGTTTTATTTACTCATTTATTTATTTCCCACGTTCATTTCCGAGTGAATTACGTTTATCGCTCTTTATGTTTCTTATATTATTTTTTAGTTCTTATATTTACATTTGCATTAATTTGTATTTTAATTCGATATTCGCAGTTACATTCGCTTGGTTTGTCTGTTTGTTGATGTTTAACGTTTGTGGCGCAGCCGTGTTACGTTAATCTCGTCCGCCCGGCGCCGGAGGACAACCGGACAAAGGTAGGAAAATGTAAAGAAAGCTCGCGGCTTAAAGTCATTTTCACGCGGCAGCTGGCTCGCTGAAATCTCAGCGAGGAAAAGGCCCGGGCGGGGTCAGGGAAAGGGCCCCGGCAGCTCATCCATAGTCACGGACTCGCAACAGTCGAGCCCGCATTTAATCATTACGCTTTTTCGCGTCGGGCGTGCAATTTCGTTGCGTTTCGGTCGGTTCGTCGCGGTGCGCCGAGCGAATTCAAAGGAGCGGGCGGACCGCTCGGACGGGTCACAAAGAAAACTCACCGTTTTGTCGCTTCCAGGTCTATTATGTGACCGTTCCTCTTCCATTGGAGGGTCGGCTCCGGATGGCCGCGAGGCGGTCCGCACTCCAGCAAAGCCGTCTCCCCGGCGGCGACCCTCGTGTTCTGCGGCTCCGCGCGAAACTCATCCCGCAGCACTGCAACAGACAAGCAGTCGCGATGATGCACCGTTGCATTACAAAGATATGTACTGCGTCGCCCGTCGTCGTCTATCCGGGTGAGCGACAATACTTTCTTGCGCGCAACCGGGACAAGAGAAAAAAAAAGTAAAAAAAAACACTCCGGAACGCATTTGCGCTTTTTAAACAGGCGACGAAAGTAGGACACTCGCATTTGTTTTTGCTTTTATTGCCGGAATAATTTCTGTCGAATCTGCGTTTCGATTACTCGCCGAGCATATCACATTGCATTCGATGTTCGGCGCGTCGAAGTTTTAATAAGCTTTCATAAAAGTCACCTGATTTTTCACGTTCGTGTATTGCGAGTTAAAAACTGGGGCGAACTAAAATGAATTTCAAGCACCCGCAACGCGATTCGCGACGACATTTAAAAGAAAAAAAAAAAAAATTCCCGGAAACTAATATCCGGTCATTTTAGTGCGAATATTTCTTTCGCTAAATCGCGATACACAAAATCGGTTTTATACAAACAGTTATTTGCATTTCGGAAAGCGCTTCGGAAACGAGACAAGATTTCTTTAGAGTTATTCGGACAACATTCAAATAAAGAGAACGAAAAACATCGGCTTTAGCTATTTCGAACGAAAAATATTTCCCGAATCCCCGTGCGCCCTAGAAATTTGTGTATGAAAAGAACTAGATCCTCTATTCAGCGTCTGTCAGAGTGCAGGAAGAACAGTGAATAAAGGAATACATATATATATTATAAATATGAAAATATTTGAGAGAAGAAAAGACATTATTTACTTATTAATAGAAAAATGTTAACTTTGCGGCTGACCGAGAGTATGTTAAGCCTTGGATGTATTTGAATAGTAAACAGCCAGTTAGAAAAATACGTGACTGCGATGCATGTCGTTGGATACGTTACAGAGCGTAGGGTTGAGCGTGAAATGACTATGCAGGAGGAGAGCGTCGCGGCTCGGGCACGAAACCCTGCCGCAACGAGTTGTCTCGTTGCGAGTTACGAATTGAAATTTGAGACAAACAGAGGGAAAGAGAGAGGTCGAAGAAAGGGACGCTTTCACGGCGCGACGGCCAGGCGCGGTTTGAAAAACCGTGGATTGCTATCTCGGGGTCTCGAGACCCCTAACGATTCCACGACGGTGAATCAAATGTAACGCAATTTCTCAGAAAACGAGGGAGAGAAGGAAAGAAGAAGGGGTCGCAGTCGTCGGGTCCAGCTTTCAACCCCTTTCGCCCGTGTCGCAGTAGCACTCTGTAAACTTTCCCCGGGGTTGACGCGGAAGGTCGGGACCCTCCGCCCGCCGCTCTCTTTCTCATTCTTCCTTCTCCACAGTCCGCCGTATATACTCTGTACGCGGTCTGTGTATATATACCAGAATTTACGTGAATCCCATAGGCCACGCGCGCGCTCACGCGGCAACGAGAAAAATGAGGATTGCGCCCCCGTGGGCCAGGTATACGTCACGTAAATAGGTACACGGTGCATACGGAATCAGGATCAGGATCGGAATCAGGCGCGCTCTTTATAGCCTGGGGTTTCTAGATTATTCCAAGCTCCTACTGTCTCAATTTAAAAAAAAAAAAAGAAGGAAATCGTATAAGACAGCGGAGGGTGAAATGCGTATGTAAAATAGATGAATAAAGTCGATTTTGTCCTCCTAAAGCCGATTGTAGCGATCGTGGTGTTGCGAACTGAATTTATATCTTCTTACTAGAATCCCGGATCGTAAAAATAACAATTGTTAACCTTTAATAATTTTGTGATTGTTTTATCAGACGAAATTTATTGAGTTGCATTTATTATATGCTGCATTAACTCTAGTGTTCTTGCGACTTTACTATCGATTTTCTGACTTTCCAAAAATTGATGCTCGCGTCATCAATGATAATTATAATTGTTTGAAAATCTTATAATTGCCGCTGTTTTTATTGGACGAGAAATATTGCGCTGTTGCATTAACTCTAGTGTCACACTTACGACTTTACTATCAATTTTCTGATTTTCCAAGAATTGATGCTCGCGCCATCAATAATAATTATCATTGTGTAATAATTTTATAATTGCTATTGCTTTTATCGGACGAGAAATATTGCGCTGTTGCATTAACTCTAGTGTCACACTTGCGACTTTACTATCAATTTTCTGATTTTCCAAGAATTGATGATCGCGTCATCAATGATAATTATCATCGTCATTGTTTTCGTCATACATTGTCATTACATACATAAACATTTTACACTGTCACATTAATATATTCTAAAGTTATATTTACGACTCCGATTTTACTCTCACTTTCCCGGTTCTGCGCGATAGGCAAACTAGAACTAATTAAGCCCTAAACTAACAAGAGACAATTATAACTCTCGCGATAACTAGAGTCCTTAAATCTTCCTTACAATATGCCTAGAATCTCAATATAGTATTATAATGAGCACCAACTCGGATCTTGTTGGAACTGTTCTAATTAACTCCAGTCTCTATTACCTCTTTTTTGCGAGAGCACACATTTCACGGCAATAATCGGCCAGCGACCAGACGGCTCGCGCGCGCGCGCTCGGAGAAGAAAATCTCAATCTCGCGTCGCCGATCTCGTTTACATTTACATAGCGCGAGACTCGGAATCGATAATGTGACACGGTCGAGCGGGTGAGCGCGCGGGGCGAATGTCGCGACATTACGGGCGGTATTGGAGCCGCGTAGCTAAAATTAGACCGCGCGCACGATGGAATTATCTGGTCGTCGGTGTACTAATGTATCCCGTGCGCCGCACATTTACATAGGAATGGCGCGACGTAAGGAGCGCTTTATTTATGCCGCGCGGGCGAGCGCCGCGCTCTCCGTCACGCGATCCTATTACGAGGCGACACCCGTCGCTCGGCTTTTCGGTCCTGGACAGCGTCGTCGTTGTTGATCAGCGGTCCTCGCGAGTTTCGCCCCGCGATTCACCGATCGGCGTCGAAAGGCTTCTCGCTCTCCCCTCCGCCGCGCGTAAGAGAACGAGCGATCGATATCATCGCCGACACTCCCGGGCATCCCGCCGAATCCCCGAGTGTGTTTTCTGTGCCAACGACCGCGCATAATCGATACTTCACAGTTCGAAAAATAATAAAAAAATATAAAAAGAGGGAAAAGAGAAATCATTTTATCGCTCGTGTCGGAAGCGCCGTTCCTACAATCGGCATGAAGCACCACGACCATATATCCCGGCGTCGCGGATCGTTAGTCGCCGTAAACCACACGCACAGCGTGTCTCGTACACACGCAGCGCGCACACACGTACAATACATATATTTGTATACGCGCATCGTAGCGATGGACGCGTGCGAGCACACCCGGGCTCACGCACATCACCCACTTCCCTTTCGTGTAATGCTGTTAATTTGGTATTGTAGCGATCGCGGCTAATGGTTTCCAGCCGGGGACCAAGTATCGACCAAATTTCGATGACGTCGTATTATCACCGCGCTGAATGCGCGTTAATGAAGCGTGCATCCAGTCGTAACGAAATGTCTGACGACCGAACCCAATTACGCAGCGAGAGATCCGTACCGAGTGCGGAAACGGCGGCGCGTCACTTTCACCGGAATGTTTAGACGAAAACTTTGCCAGGGGGTCATCGGTCAGGAAGAATCGCAAAGACGGGAGGGAGGGAGGGGCGAGAAGACCAAACTTCGGGTGCTATTAGTGTCGACGGGATGTACACAGGGTGTTTCCAAACTCTCTTTGGGAAATCAACGATCCTTTTCCGGGTTTCTACTTAGTTTCCTACTTGATTTAAACTTGCGGGAGTTATAAGAGTTGATTTTTCCGCAGCTCGAATTTCATGTAACTTAATAGTTTCTCGAGTCATAAGTGTATTTTCCGTCTAATTTCGCGCGCGAATCTTTTATAACATAAACATATTAAAAATTCGATGAAAATAATTAGAAATCTATTGAACATTTTTTGTATTAATAGCTGGATGAAAAATGTGGCGATCAATTAACTTTTCCCGAGCAAATATTTTCAGAGGATTCGTTATTAAAAGCAGATGCGATTAACGATCCTATTAAATTTCAATATCATAAAGAATCCCTAATATCTTTTTAAAACGTTCTTTCGCAACGGAAGGATGACTCATCTCGCACAGCGGCTTCCCTCTTACACGCTCTAACTGGTCCAATTGGCCCGAGATACGCGCGTCTCCGTTCGCGATATCGGCAATCGCACTCATCAACGTCCGCCGCGTTGCCGCTTTCGGTCCCTCGTTCGCAGGATAATTCCAGCCGGGCAATTACTTAGTTGGCCATTCGTCGACGTTAGCGAGCAAGCGTTCGAACGGACGTCAGTCGCACTTTCTCTCTCCCTCTTCTCTCTTCACCCTCTCCCTCGTAATCGAGCCTGAATGGCGGGCTCGAGATATCGCGCTAATAGCACCTAAAGCTCCTCCGCTTTTCGCTAAAGTCTTTCCGGCACGATGACTTCGCCGCCGGCGGAATCCTGCGTTTCCACGTACTGTCTCTCCTTCTCTTCTCCGCGAGCGAGGGCGGAAGTTAAAGACGCTAGTTGCCGGCAGTTGGTGGGGCGAGTGAGTTGCCACGGCGAAATCTAATCCAAGTTTACGTGCTTCCAGTCCAATTAGGTACAAGTAGGCACCGGCGTGCGCGAGGGCGGCGGCGGCGGCGGCGGCTGCGTCGTCGTCTTGGGACGCGATTCACGTTTCCGTAATAACGACGTTTACGCGACGGGGGGAAAACTGTGAGCGGGTAAGCGCGATAGGTTATCCCCCGACGGGGACGAGCATTCGGTGCTTTAAAGCTCGTAAAGCTCGATCGTAACCGGCCTCTCTTATTTCGTTAAACTTGAGGGTCTCGTCCGACTTTCGTCGTCGACCCCCCCCCCCTCCTTTAATTCCCGGGCGCGCGCGAGACACGATATTATGCTCCGCTATATAGCGTGTCGCATCAGCTGCGCGTAACGAGGCTCATCGTTTCTCGGTGAAAAGTTATCA